TAATTAATAAAATAACGGGAAAATTCTATATTTTTCTATATAACTTTGTTGCTTTCAAAAACAAACAAACAAGAGCTTCATATCCTTTGTAAGAACTGTTAAGTATATTCTGCAAAGTTAAAGAATTTATGCCAACAGAAATTAAATAGTTTTTAATTTAATTCTTTCCCTTTCATATGCCATACAATTGATTATTAAATGCTCTATAGTTTCTGGAAGTCCACATTTATTGCACTGACCAGAACCATGTTTCCCTATCATTTGAAGTGATTTGTTGAGGGCAGAATGACCAATTCTCAGACAAGAAATTACTGTATCTTCCTTTCTGTTGCCATAACTAATTCTAACTAAACCAACTTGTTTTTGTATATTATACAGATGACAACCTTTATTTCCTTTATCCCACCGCTCCTGCCACATATTTGTAATAGCTGTTTTAATTAAGCCCTTCATTTCAGATTTACCCAAAGGTATTTCTAAATCAGTAACATTATGTTTAAGGGCCTGTTTGGCTATCTTGTCCACATCCTCGTTACCCTCCACACCAACATGAGCCGGCACCCATAAAAATACTGCTAAAAGTCTCATTTGGCAAATTCTATACAGATTTTGTAAAATTTCTATTAATATATCTGGTCTTGAATCCGATTTTCCACTTATTTAACTAGTAAGAACTGAAAACGAATCTGAGCAAATTACTACAGCAGATGGTTTAACTTCTTCTTTCTTTAGCTCCTGCTGTTCCTGTACAAATAAACCTATTACTGCCCCCATCAGGTTATACGCTGACCCTGATGACAGCACGTCCGACTAATTTCGGCGAATCGGTTCTTTCGATTCAGTGATTCTTTTACGTTATGACTTATCACATGCTCCCCCGACATCCCGGCGAGACATGTTAACTGCTCTAAACGTCAGTTTAGATGTCTTCAATAAAGCCAAATGTAGATCAATTATGCTTTATTTATAAGGGCATTCATTATTATTTAATATGTCCCAGTTTGTATGATTCTTCTTATGAATGAATGATGCATTTATATAGCGCTTTATTGTGTATTGCTGTACACCCAAAGCGCTTTACAATCATATGAGGGGGTCTCTCCTCCACCACCTGTGTGCAGCATCCACCTGGATGATGCGACGGCAGCCACAGTACAACGGCGCCAGTGCGCTCACCACACACCAGCTATAGGTGGAGAGGAGAGAGAGATAGAGCCAATTCAGTGGATGGGGATTATTAGGAGACCATGATTGACAAGGGGCAGTGGAGGGAATTAGACCGAGATGGTCCTCACTGCAGAACACAAGATCCAGGGGATCCAGATCCAACTCCTCCCACCTTACATATACCTAAACCTACCTGTCTCCACTTTGATTCTGATGCTGACATATATGCTAGGCAACCATAATCTAACGATGCTCTTAAAAGAGCCTGATAGATGTTAATGAGCTATGCCCTGCTTAAGCGCTCTTCTTTAGCTCCTTCTTCTTCTTTGACGTTTAATGGCGGTTGGCAAACCAGCTTAGGTGCATATTCCGCCACCTACTGGGATGGAGTGTGAGGCGTTGATATCAGAAGAGACAGAAAAAAAATAATAATAAAATAACGGGAAAATTCTATATTTTTCTATATAACTTTGTTGCTTTCAAAAACAAACAAACAAGAGCTTCATATCCTTTGTAAGAACTGTTAAGTATATTCTGCAAAGTTAAAGAATTTATG